TACATAGAATGAATCCAATATATGCATATGAAAGCTGAATGTTTGGGGAATCCTGCAAGTATCGATACATTCCTGTGCTATTATCAATATTGCTGTAATACGCGTTCAAAATTGAAGAATTGAAATTACAACGTTCGAAAAAGCAGTGTTTTCACATTTCATTGATTTACTCGAAAACTATAATAGATAGAATGAATCCAATATATGCATATGAAAACTGGATGTTTGGGGAATGTATCGAGTATTCATATATTTCGAGATTTTGATACAGCTGGGATTTTGATATTCTGAATGTTGATATAGTTGGGATTTTGACAATCTGGATGTTGACATATTTAAGAATAAATAAGAACTTGATGTAAATTTGATATATTCAGACAGGGTCGCATTAAGGTTGTAGTAGGTCATAGTTATTAGTTAATAGATTCTATTTTCTTTCATGGATAAATAAAAAGGTTTGGGGGCGGGAATCTAATTCAACCTAATGGATAAGACGGCCATGATTTTAGAATAGAAACAGATTTAAACAAAATAAGTAAAAAAATAATATTATCTCCTAGCAACAACAACAACAATAAATAAACAAATGAACGATTTTGTTATATATTACATTTATATAATAATTACATATTTACAAATAAAACAACTTACAACAACAACAAAAAAAAACATAAATTATATACGTATATAATTGATGAAATAAAACAAACAACAATAAAAGAAAGTGCAAGAAATAAAAAAGGAAAAATACTAATGAAAAAGAGTACAATTGACGAATTAAAACAAGTTATTGTAAATTTAATATTAATAAAAAAAGGAGGTAACATTGCTTTCTTTTATTTTCCCATTCGACAACCAACAAAAATGGGCAACAAATTTAAAATATAACAAATTGATTTACTTTAAAATCAATATGAGTTTGAATACTACTATGAAAGAATGCGAAACGTTTATTATACAAAACGTGCATTTTCACACAAAAAAAAAATTAAAAATAAATAAACGTATAAATAATGGAATACCTTGATACTGGTTTCTTTGTTCAATGTGTGACGATTTGTTCGTAGAAAGTTGAAAGCTAAAATATCTAAATGGAATTATGAAATTGGAAAGGGAAAAATCTTGTCCGAAGACGAAATTTCCCGAAGGCATTATTGTTCAATTCAGTCAAGTTCCAGAAGGAAAACCGTATTAAAATAATTTGCGTGGAAACATTAACATCAAATATCTTCTTTATAAATTATAAGTAAACAATAAGCACAGTAGTAAAATTGTTTTGTTTTTTTTTTTGTTGAGAGAAAAAATATTAATAGAATTAAATAAACAGCAAGATAAAATGGGTTAGGAAACAAAGATCAAATAATAAAGTTACGTACACACCACTTACGTTATAAAAGAAATCGATGCACCAACGTTCCGAACAATTATAATAGAAAAAAAATTACACATTATCTCTCCCGTCTATTTTTTTGCCCCATCGATTTCTACGCAGAAATCAACAGTAAAATGTTAATCTCATCGCTCGCTCACATCGGCCTCTTCGTCATCCGTAACTACAAAGTCGAAAACAAGAAAAAGAAAAACACCAATGAAATCCCTGTTGAACGTAAAGAAACATTATATAATATCTGGTGCAAATATAAAGAAGCAAAACCGAAAACGGAGCAACGAAAACGAAGATTGAAACAATAATAAATAAACGATTGCACTAATATTATTTGTACTGCTAAGTTAATTTAAGTGTCTTAAATATTCAAAAGAAACTATATATAGATATATAAAAATTAAAGAGAAACAATAATAAACATGTGATATGTCAATAAATATTCTTGACGATGTCTTTCGACGCTTGCTAATGATTATAAAGTACTAAATTTAACTAAAATAAAAACGATGATCACACGAATGCCCTGGTTCACTAGCTAATTCACATACAATGTTGATGATTTGGTGATTGTTATAAAGCATTTAACATAATTTGTGATGAATAGATTATGCGAATAGCAATTGTTAAAAGAAAACAAAAATAAAATATGTATCAAAAAAAAAAAAGAAGTTAAATAATAATATTGTATGTCTATAAATATTTAAACTATCTACCTACAAAAAAAAAAATAAAATAAGAAAAAACAAAAACAAAGAGAAAGTTCATCGAGAAAGAGCAAAGTATTTTTGGTGCAAACCTTCTGTCTCCTCTTTGAGTTTAAGCAGCTCCAGCTGAATGATGTCCGTGATCTCTTTGCGCGCCTCTACGTCCGTAGCGTTTCGAGCGCGCAGCTTCTTCACGACCGGACTCAGATCCAGAGGTTTGCCGTAATTGAAGGTAATTTGCTTGCCTATCCTCAGATAATACGGAGGCGTGTTCGGCAACATATCGTCCATTCCTATATGCCAGATCGGAACAATGATTGGAGTGACCGGTGACTCGAAAATCATACGACCGATGCCCCATTTCAACCGGATGTTCTCCTTAGTCATGTTCACTTTACCTACAACCAACATAACGTTAAGATAATGGTCAACGCGCGGATGGTGAGATGTCGAAGTCAACCTTCCGGGAAGACGTGGATCCAGTCGCCTTTTCCCAGCTGCTCTATGCAGAAGTCGATCGCCGGCTGGAAGACACCGTCGCCTCTGATCACCGGAACGCATTTTCCCCAGGTGAAGAACGTGGCGTGCATGGATTGCGTGAAGCAGATGTCGTGTGCCGCCAATGACCATCGCATCTTGCTCGGCCTCAGCAGGTTGCTCCAATTCAACGTACCTAAACAATGACGAAAAGATCAGACCAATATGAATATGCACGATCGACCTCGAGACATCAAAAATTACAAGGTCTACCGCAATTACTTCTTGCAATACTACCGCCTCGAAGTGAAAGCAAGCAATTTTTTTCGAAATACCATTATTTTGAAAATAATCATTAAGCGTAACATTTCTTTTCGTCGAAAACTCTTACAAGTAAATACACTCATCGTAAAGAAAAACAAAAATGCCATAATACAATCGATTCCGCTTAATCGGGACTAGTACATTTTTTAACAATTATCCGAAGTTCCACGAACATTACAGAATTAGCGTTACTTTTAATATTTAATACGCATACATATTAAAAAAAAATGCGCCTCATCCATGGACCGGCGTCACGGAGATTCACACAACATTACTGTCCAGATTAAAAGGAATATTGTCCCGAAAAAGCGCAGTAAATCTGTGTCATTTCCTTAGTTTTGTTTCCATTCTTTATGTTGTAATTGGGAAACCGGACAACCGACTGTATTTAAAAAAGGAAATGACGGAAGATGACTGTCCGAAACGGATACATCATTGTAATTGTCGCAAATTAAAATTTGAACTTCGGAAGGACTCTTAACGTTGACCTATTTAATAAAGCACTTATCATGCTCCAAACGGTCCTCGCAATTGCGACATACAATTTACGATCGTCACTCGCATTCACAAATCGCTATCGTACGTGCATACCATTACAAAATACCAACGATAAAAATAAAGCATTAAGAAAACGATAAAACTATCGTATTCAATGAAATAATCTGTGATAAGATTCCAAAATTGATAAAATTTTATCCTCAAAGTTCAGATAATACAATTATATTGATACAATGGACAATATCAGCATTGTTTAAACCACACAAATAATGATAATGTAAATTCGAATTTAAAAATACTTGAAATTGAAAACCTGAACTCAAATTAATGAACAGAATAATGTATTATTTTGATCCTCTGTTTACATAATATTGTCTCAAGTGACAATTACCGCACGTTGCGTAAGTGAAAACCAAAAGGTATGCAAAAGAGAAACTCGTTACACTTTGCATCTATCGATTGATTCGCAAATTTTCCTATCACGAGTTTAAACGCAATTAAGCAATTTACCGAGAAACGATTTGAGAAAATTGCAAATTTTTAAACGATTCTCAAAGGCGCGCGTTTCATATATTTAATGAACGTTGCAATATTAGATGAAACCAAGTGAAACAACCTTCATTTATGTCATTTTTAATAGATAACAGTGAATCAGCGAATACAGAAAACAAGTTTCGATTTCGGTCAAACCTAATATATGCTATCAATTAGTTTTTTTTTTTGATAATAAATGTATCGATGAGTATTATTATAGAGTTGCTCACCCCAGATTCCTGGATCATCGAAGCAAGAGTGATGATTCGAGACTGTAATGAGTGGCACATTCTTGGGTCTCTCGTTCAGAGCTTTCAAAATAACATGCCGGTTGTGCACTTTTGCATTGTTGAAGAATTCTGAAATTTTGCAAATGAAATTGATTATAATATATTGTAATCGATGGATGTTTTCTGTTTACTTATGATAATTTTACTAAAGAGTCCGACCATGGAGACAGTTATCGAGCTGGCAAAGTGCCACAGTCTGGTCGGCTGTCTCAGTGTGGGCACTATCCATTTGATATCGTAACCCATTTTCATTGCTACACTTTTCACAGACATATTTCCACTCAAATCGTTGACTCCAGACATAACAGTATTGGTGGATGGATGGATGATGTGCACACTGCTCGATACCTTCTCTGACATTCAAATCGGAATACACTAAACCATCAAGGAGGCAATTGGCTCAGCTCTCTCCAATTGCATAACACATGGGCACTTGCTCAGATTCCACATTGTCTCCAGACCATAGTTCTCAAACGTAACCTGCTTTGCTTCCAAATGACTATTGCTGACTTAATGATATGTGCACAGCAATATTTACGAATACGCGCGATCAGAACTACCAACATTTAAATAAGTTACATAAACTATTTACAACGAAAGCAACACTATTTATTAGTTTACACTTCAAGTACAATTTCGAATCCTCATCTACTTTAAGCATTAATTATTTAATAGAATTGTTAAAAAGTTTCAAAATTAATTTGACAAAATTTATTGAATTACCTTTAATATCTTTATTAAATAATACCTAAATCATTCATTAAACATTATATAACTAATATAAATATATTGTTAAATGTAGATGTGCAAAGAAGATCTAATATAAAGAACATTTCAAGAAATAACGATCAATTATAGGCAACTCAATATGCAGTAATTTTCAAATTAATTACTACAACCAGAGGGGGCGGCCGTAGCTTTAGCACGAAAATATGATACAAAAGGTCGTTGGTTCGATTCCCAAAAAACAACAAAAATTTGTGTGGGCTGATAAACCCGAAGGGGGTAGAAATAGAGATAATAAATCGATATAAATCTCTTTTTTTTAACTAACTAACTATCTTTACTTACAAAGTAATAATGTTTTCAAAGTATTTCAATAATAATTTTCCATAATATCCAGATTATATGAACTTTTTAATTCAGCCCCTGTAAAAAGTAACATCAAAATTTACCGAGTATAGGTTTTCTATTGTTTTGAACAGTTTAAATTCACTTGTTTATATTTTTTGGTTAGGTTATCTTAAGTTAGAGTTAGTTGAATGAATTTGTAAAAAGCTTAAAGAAAAACTTTAAAATAAATATTTTTTTATTGAAATATGTAATGATATGATTGAATCCATAATTATAGGTATTTTAACAGCTGATTGTAATTTCCAGCGGTCTGTGGTCCGACAACGCATCCAGTTTACAGTTAACATTAAAGTTCTGCACGT